TAGAGCTGAAGCTGTCACGCCATCTGCCGAATTGTACTGTTAGACCTTTTCCGGGACTTCTTTTTAGCTTTTTTTCGATGATTGAAAGTGAAATTTTGGAACAAGCGAGCCGTGGGTTATTGAATTTTCCAAACCCGGGGAGAAGGGGAGAATTATCAAACTGTTAATAATCGTGATAAGGGGCGTAGTTTTCTAAAGTGTTATCTGGATTGTCAGTCAGTATTTCTGACGAGCTTTCAGTGGATAGACTTAAAATGGGGGAATAAAAGATCACTTGATTGAGTGAAGCGTTTTGTGTTCATCTGTTAATTGACGCACGCAAAAAATGACGAGGGAGTAGAACACCGAAGTCGACTCAGAGAGAAAGACTTTTGACAATGTGCTAAACACAATTAGAGGCTGAAGCATTTTTTCTCTAATTCGAGTTCTGAGGAAGGATAACTCATGAGGACCGGGTATAAAAGTAACTATAAAGAGGAAAAGTTGATCTTAGAGTCAAATAGCCAAACGTTGTCGAATATTAGAATGTAAATGGGGTTGTGCCGCTCATGTTTTATCAAAACGCAGCAATCTGACTGGCCACGCTACTCGCTCTCTATTCGGCGTTAAGTAGTGAGTAACCTACCAGTGTGCGTTTGGAAACAAAATGAAATAAAAGTATTCGCCTGTTTTGTTAAATTTGGACGACTAGTAGATTTAATATAAAAAGATAAGATTATTTGCTCTCGATTTCTTAACGTGACAGGTGATTCACGCTTCGCACTCATCAAACTTTCCCACTAGAGGAATCTCAAGCTCATGATCCAACTATTAACCCTTTCATTCGTCCTTACTTGAGGGGAGGGAGAGGGGAGTTTGAACCTCACCCAGGTGATGGTGAGGAATTTTAACCGGAAGTATTAAGTCTTTCAGAGGGATGCAAATGTTATATCTTTGAATATAAAAGTTTAAAGGTAAGTAGTTTACTTTCGCGAGCGAATGGCTCAGAAGAGAAAGTCTACAATATCTAAGTTTTAAGGCTTGGTCCTGAGATGTAGAATTTTTCTTTTTACCGAAAAAACTGAGCGGGAATTTGAACAAACCAGTCTTTTGCCCGGAGGTTTGCCTAGGGGAGGATGCTAAAGCTTCGACTCGATCGACGTATTAACTCCAACATAAACTCCAATGTCTAAAAAATTGAGTCTTGAGTGCCAAAATATTCCAAAGTGTGAATAATCCAAGGTAGACCGTAGAAATGGCCCGTGAGTGGGTTAAAAAGGCCAATTTGAAAAGAAGTTTTATTGATTCTTATACTCCTAACAGTTGTTCCGTGTGTCAGCTGTGCCTTCATCGGGATATGAAGCACCCGGGAAGTTTGAAGAGCACCAAAGGTGCGTAAGAGTTTGTTGAGGCGTAACCGAAGGTAATTCTAACTTCTTAAGTACTTCTTTTCCTGATGAGCGCACAACTGACTCATGAATCAGTTATATTACCGGGTTGTTAGCATAAAGATGTACTATAAAGAGTAGTTTATCGTCAACGCACACACACCCGTCAACCGCCCCCTTAGTACAGATTTCTCTATCTCTCCAGCCTTCTGCTGCCATTACAATCAAGGATGGCGGCCGTAATTTTCGTTAATAAAATACTGAACGCTTGCTCGCCAAAATTACTCCTGCTCTGCAGGCAAGCAATAATTTGGCTTTTTTCAATCATATAAAACAAATAGATTCCATGTTGCCATGGGTCTGTACAGTTAATACATAGATTCAGTAAGACATAGATCAATTTCTGCACCGAACATGTCATTCCAAACAACTATCAATAGGATCACATTACTGTCACACACTTAGCCTGAAATATAATCCGAACATCTGAATAAGCTAATTGTTCAGATAATGTAAATTGACCACCGAAAACTTTTTACGGTTGGCGATATACATTACTAACGCAGTTGATAAAGCCAAATTTTCTTAGTGTCTAGATAGTTTGTGCATGAGACCTTGGGGCTATGCCTAGTTTCTAAGCCCCTTCGTCCGAGTAGTGTTTCCAAATTTTGGCAACTCAGAGAGTAATATTTCGTTATGCAGATTGTTTAAATGATGTATAATAAAACAATTATTGAATTCGGGTTTTGCGTGATATCTGCCAAAGCCAAACTCATACCTCGGCTTTGATAATTCATGATAACATGCTCAACCTCATCCAATAATTGTTTATTACTCTCTGGAAGTTGAATGAACGCCAGTAAGAACTTGAACACACTTGTCTGTATTTGATAGGATGGTAAAAAGGCTGACTGTGTCAGTGTAATTACACAGTTAAGAGAGAATGTTGTTAAGTAGTCCTGAATATTTTGCATGTAAAAAGTGAAACAAGTTGTCTGCATTTTTAACTGAGCAGAGAAGTAGGCAAGTCTTCACCAGGATATGAACTTATAGACCAGTTTCTTTGTCCAAATTTCTCATTTCGAGAACGATGTTGCTGAATCACAGAAATGCATTGATTCAAATGCAAATTATCTTTTAAATATACCAAAATCTGCCAATTGGTCCTTGAGTTCCTTCTTCTCGACTCCAGACCGGCTACAACAGTATTCTGTGGCAAGGGTATCATGTGAGTTTCATTATCTCGAAAAGCAGTGCCGTAAGCGTTCTCGAAAAGTTTCTTTTGTGGAGCGCAATTAGTCAGGTTCAATTTCAACGGTAAGCCTTACTTTAAGAATAGAAAGTATATGGTTTGAACCTAGGAATAACTGTCGATCGTGTAGTCCGATCGTTTGAGAGAGAGTAGTCTTGAAAAGGACCGTTGTTGATAACTTAAAAGTCATTGACGTTTGGACAACCTCAGGCAGGGGAAAAAGTCATAAGAAGCAAGTTATAGCGAGCTTAAGAGGGGCCTCGACATTTTGTCATTTACAATCAGCATGAAGAGAACCTTATCATCTGTTTAAAACATCCATGTCTCAAGACAGGAAAGTAGAGACTTCATCCAAGAAAATTTATATGTTAGAGATCGGAGGGAGCCCCAAACGACCTATCAAATTCATGTTTACAGAAGTCGGTCCTTGTTACAAGATTTTATTTTTCAAACTAGTAATTAATTCTGTGGAAATGCGCCAGCAATGCATTCAACCACAACATCAGTTAAATGATACGATATTGCGTTTCATTCCCTTCGTCATGCTTCGTGGCCCGAATTAACGAGTGTCAACAAATAAAAGATTAGTGCATAGCGACTGCAACCAACGGGCGAAGCTAAGCCAAGAGCTGCTTTTCGTTGCTGAATTTTCTTCCTCATCAAATAATACTTTCAGAAGGGTAACTTGACACCGAAAGAAGATGAATGCTACGATTTAATTGATTGTTCATGTAGACGTAATTAGTAAAATATGCGGAAATCTTTAATAATGAAAAGAAACCATAGCAACCATGTTTAATGAACGTGGTTCTCAATTATCATGGCAGGTTTGATTCCTTTATTTTAGGTGGGATGTAGGGAGGCGAGAATATTTTATGGAATGAGATATTGCGAGAAACTGAGAAATTAAAAATAATGGGGTTCTGGAATGTTGAAGAAATTGAGGCAATTTGTATTATCTAGAAATGATACTTGACATCGCTCAGAGTGCCCAGACATCTTAATCATTCGCAACCATCGAGGCAGGCAAATTTGAATGATTCGTTAACTTATATAATATTTCGCCATAACTTGTGCATTTGAAGAATTTCAAACTTTGGACTGAATAGGCAGGTGAAATTGAAAGAAATCCATACAAAAACAAAATAACCAATCAGATTTTCTAGTTGTTTAAAGAAACCAATAAAATGAAAGGCAAAGTAGGTCAAAGAAGTCATCGTGTGGTAATTGAACTTTGTATTGTGAAATTTTTATCTAAATCATACATTTGATTTCAAATCGAACTCACTCTGCGTGTTCGTTCGACTTTGAAATCACACTTATATATAATTTCAGACCTAATAATATACTTGCAAAACTTTCAGAATTCTCATTGGCCGAGAACTTGTCAATTAACCCCAAACATTTCAGAAAGTCGAAATTGAGTGAAGAAAGTTAATGTTGGATGCAGAAAGATGAATTTGAAATGACTGAGGAATTATCAAGGAAAAGGCCTGACTTCTTCGGCAATAAGGCAAAGGTAAGCGGCCAAACTGGTAAGCCCTGACACAATATGTAAACAGTACGGCTTGAGCAAACAAGGTTAGCAAGTAGATTATCATATAGCGCTCGGAGTGAACGTTTTTTTTTCAAACTTGCCGATTTTCGAGAACGAAAAGACACGGTTTATCACTGTTTCCGTGGAAATGGCTTATACGAAAAAGTTTTAAAGAATCTTTTTCCTAATTAATGTTATTTATTGGTTTTATCATGGAAAATAAAGACTGTCTAAAATAAATTAAAAATAAAAAGAATTTAAATGTAAACATTTTAAGCATGGATTTGACTACTGAAGATAGTTAGGAGCCAAGATTTATTTTGTCTTCACTTATTGATGCTGAAACCATAGCAATCATTATACTCCATTTGGGGGCAGGTTTAATTTCTAATACAGTTTGGTCAGTGTAAAAGAATGACTGTTTGATCTTTTGGACAACTAGGTGATTTTTGAAAGAAATCAATTCATGAATCGATATGGAGGCCTTATCACTCTTACCCTGTAAAAAAATATTTTCAGATACATCCATCCTGCCCATGGAAAAGTAGTTACTTCAGAAACAATTACCGAAACGTCAGGGAATGAAATCAGCGTCATTGTAAACCATTCATTTTCATTGTTCTGCTCTAACCAGATAAAAAATGCGTAAAACTGTGCTCCTCACAGCAACACATATTCATACAGTTTCATTACTGCTTTCTCGGGTTTCAAAGACACGACTATTGAACTGAGAGCTAGTCATGGTACTTTTTTCGTAATGAGATGGACATCAGAGCTATTGCTGTGGCCCATGGCCATTTATTTCGCCTTACTTGCCTATTAGCCTTTAGAGATAGAACGGAATAAAAGCCTGATTGCTCTTTCCTTAAACGGGATCTATCTTGCGATCAGGCGTTCTTTTTGTCTGCTATATTGCTTGATCGCCGACTCTATAACAGCCACACCATCGCACGCCTCAGAAAAAAAAAAGAACGCTTGATTGCAGGTAACTGATTTTATATTGGTGACTTTTGTCTTCTTTAGCTACTTCAGCCGAGACAGAATCTGGAAATTGCCTCAGTTTGACAAAATTCTCGACCGACTCACTTGAAGAGATGGCAAATTCAACCAGAAATGAAGGTTCTTAAAGTTCTAATTTCATAACTTAAACGCTATCAGTTAAACTGACTATCCCCTCCAAGTCGTTACCTGTAATCGATATAGTATTATGTGGAATCCTGAGAAGTCATTTCCACGGCTCCTAGCGAGCTTTTGTTGCTATCTGTCTTTTAAACCTTTTATGTGACAATTTTTTTTTCAATAAGATAAATGCTTATTTTGCAGACACCTCCAATATCACACAATGGCGACAGGCTCGTGTCACTGAAAACCACATATTGTTAATATGCGATGACGTGGGTAGATTCTGGATAGACCTAGGAACTATCTTGAAGTTGCCACCAGCTGAGGTTGTTAATATTGAGGACGAATTCAGATATAACCGTGACAGGGCGTGGAAAGTAATGAAAAGGTGGCTACAAATGAAGGGAAGAGAAGCAACTGTGGGAATTCTCGCAGATGCTCTTGAGCAGATGAAGATGAGAAATGCCGTCGAAAAGCTGATTGGTATGTGATTTCTTATTTGAAGAGAGTACACTCAGTGCCGAGTCTATTTATTTCCTTAAAAAAATACCTTAAACCCATGTGGGAAAAGATTTTCAAATGACCAACTTCTCAGTCATACCAGGGGGATTACATTTTCTAACGCAGTTCGCGACGAAGGCAAGTTTTGTTACATTTACAGTAGTTACACCAGGGAAGGAGAACCTAATTAAACTCAAGCTCTACTTTATATAACAAAGATATCAACAACTGGACCATTAGCCGATGTAAAGCAATAGTTTAGCCAGTCAGCGTTTCACTGCACAGTTTTTGCGAAGTTGAAGTACTACAGCGGGCCGGACCTTGAGGCCTGAATGTAAAGAAAACACTAGGACAAATTGAACTACTTTTATCAATAAAATGTAATTGCATACACGTAGAAGAAACTCGTCCAGAAATCTTATCTTAGCCCTGTGATAAGTTACGATTGTGAAAACCTTTTACTTTATCATTTAAGAAAGAGCCTATTGCGACCTCTCTACCTTTGGTTAACTTCTGCAATTTCTTTTCACTGTCTAATTAGAAAAAGTAAAAGTGGAGGCTGGATTGAACTCCGTTCGAGCTGCAAGCGGGAAGTTACGAAAGGACGTTGAACTTTTGAGGGTAGAAATACAGAACGGGCAACGGATGCAAGACGAAACACGGAAAGAATACGAAGAATTAAATTGCGAAATGCAAACAGCAACTGGAGAGGAAGGCCGAAAAAACATGGAAACTAGGATGCAACGCCTCGAGACAACAATTGAACGGCTGGAAAGGCAAGATCCACTACAAAAATTGACTCGATTGCTAGAAATTTGCGGCAGGATTGACGAGGGTCTACGTGATGTACAGGAGAGCGTCAGAAAAGTCTCTGAAAACCAAAACGCGGCGGTTGGAAGGTCATTCGAAGCCGATAGGAATACATCAGATGAACCTATTGAGAGGCAACAAGAGGAAACTACATCGGAAGATACCATTCAGAGAGACACAATACGGAGGGATTCGCAGAACCAAAGAGAAAGTGAACTCATTATAAAACCTTTGCTTGACGGTAAGCTTATATTGCACAATTCATTGTCAGCCAAATTTGTAATGTTCTGTCCGAGAGACGTCGATGGAGTCAGATAAACTAAAACAAATTAATTTAAAATAAAAAAAATTCGTTTTAATTTCAAAATATATCTCTCAAAATTCCTATGCACATGTTCAGAGTGCACGAAATACCGAAATACAACATTTTCTGAACACCCTTCCCAAGAGTTCAACTGAAATTGGACGATAAATGAATCAATTGGAGATACTGTGGTTCGATAATCCTTTTTCTTAGTTCATTTAAAATTTTAGCTCGACGTTCAATGGAATATATGCCAAGTATTTATACAATCATTGATTGGGTTTAAAAACGTCGTCTTCATCTTTGGGTATCAAGTTATCCTTCTTTATTTTTTTTTTCCAGACTGTTCAACAAGTATACTTGTGAACGTTATTTTCTTACAGATATTGATCGAATACCGGCAAAATTTCTCTTGTTTCGACCACGCAACTAAATTTATTCACCGCGCTATTAACATGTCTTCTACATCACATACATTACAAGTGAGGATTTCTGTGTCGTCATGGTAACTGGGCCTACTGGCGTCGTGGTTTTACTTTCCACGAAAGTTTAATCTCTTCATTTTGAAATCAATACCGATGTCGAACTCAACTTTTTCAGGAGAATTTTTTATGTTCAGCAATCCCTGCAGTAGGTTTTCTAGACGATTTTCTTTGATTCAAATTTTTAGGAAATGAAATGGAACTCAATGATGTGGAAAAAGAAAGAGATTCACTGAAAACCAAATCTGGTCAACCAGACCAAACGAGCAAAAGTCAACTGGAGCGGAAAAGAAAGTTAAAAACAAATAATAAACAAGTTAAAGTGGAGAGAAACGAAGCCATCGAACCAAATAAAGTAATGGTGGAACAGATTCAAAAGCTTGAAGCGGAGAAAAAGGAGCTCGAAATGACGTTAAATGGTCAAACCGATCTTATGGCTGAAAATGAAAAGCTGTCGACTCAAATAGAAAGGCTGACAAAAGAAGCAAACAACTCTGAGTTTGAGTGCAAGCGGCTACAAGAGGAGCTCAAGACGTACATAAATTACCAAAGTCGTAAGTACACGAAAGAACTTTTTAAAGATAATATTGACTTTCTGTCTTTAGCTAATCCGTTTCAGTCTAAAGTGGTACAGCCTTGCGCTATCTCTATCTACGTATCTGCCATATTAGTTTAGTTTTTCCTTAACCCCTTCCTTTACGTTAAGCACATTCTTCGCTGATGTTGAATTATATACATATGGGAAGGGAAGACAAGGCATTTTTTTCTTTTAACGTTATCTATCTTACTTTCGTTTCTACTTAGACGTTTTCTTACCAGCTGGAAAGGAATTTGCCGGCATATGCACTGGTGTCATCTGCTTCCTGAAACAAAGATTAAAAGATGCACCTTGCGCTGAATTGATTGCTTCCAGATCTTCCGATGGCCCTGGAGATGGGGCTGACGTATTAAACCATAAGACAGGCACCGTCAGTGCGACAGAAGAAAAGAAAAATTCGTGGTGGTCTATTGATCTGGGCTCAAGCCATCGGCTTGTGATTACACACTACGCTTTGAGGCACGGCAAAAGAGAAAAAGAGTCACTGCTAACCCAATGGCAGCTGAAGGGATCCAATGATGGGAAGCAATGGGAAAACATTGACACTATTCGCGACAAGAAGGATCCACAGTTCAAAGATCCTTCCCTATTTTGTACAGGCAAATGGTCTGTCAAAGGGGAAATAGGGCCTTTTCGTTATTTTCGAATTTTCCAGACAGGTGTTAATTCCTCTGGCAAATATGGAATATACCTATCTGGAATTGAGCTGTATGGAGTACTTCTAAACATGTGTGAACTAACAGAAACAGAGGCTTTATCCTATAAAGTTTTCATCAAGCAGCCGAATGAAAAGTGAACTCTCAACCCCCCATTAAAAGTGTCTTTGAGGGACCACATAACTTTTTCTTTGTAATCTCTTATATTTTCATTTAGAGTGTGATGTTTCCTTAGTTTTGCAACGTTTAGAATATTGAAGTTCGCTGTTGGTTTTAGATGAAATGCAAGTTAAAAAAAATTAAAATGCCATCTTCTTTGATGATTTTTTCAAGAGTATGGCAAATCAATATTTTATGAGCAGTTACATGAAATTGTAGACATTGAAAAGTAAGAGAGTGGAAGAATCTGTTACTTGTCTATATGCTGCAGGAGTATCTTTGTAAATGATCATCTAACACAACCTAAGCGATACAGTGTTAATCTTAGTTTGCCGAGTTTGTAACGAATAATTCTTCGTTTATATATATTATATATACTGAATTCTTCAAAACTGGGTAGTAAGAGAGAATTATCAGCGTTTTCAAAGAAGTGATAAGAACTGTAGCTTTTAGAGTGCTTTTTAGATTGCCAGCTTTTTTTTATTATTATCCATCAAATGTTTTTTCTCGTAGGTGACTGGTTTAAACACGTCGCGTGATTGTTACACCAGGGTTATAACTGGGGAATATCCACTGATATTCCCTAAGAAATATTCCCTAATAAAAACCTTACGTTAAAAGTCAATAATTTCAATTCAAGATGAGAGAGCATTTTGCTGTCGTTTTAGAAGAAAAAACCTAGTTGTTTGTTCGTAAATTAGAACAAGAGAACACCGAAGGGTGAACAGTGTACGCAGTAAATGGTTAACTGTTCGTAAACGTTGTAGTGTCGTGTGACACTAGCGTCACAGTACGTCATGCATGTAATTTAAGCAAGGGAATTCCGGGATTAAAGAGAGAGTAAACCATTTGCTCGTAATGGCCGTTTACTATTAATTGCTTTCGTGTTCGCTCTCCACATTACAAACATTTTGTGCCATGCGTGGCACCATTCGCCCCCACAATCTAATTTTCAGATATATGTAGATAGTGAATTAAGTGAGTTGCACATGGCGTGACCTATTTATATTATTATAAGACAAAAGCATGTTCCAACCAGCATTTAATTTTTAAACTTCTAGTGATTCGATAAAACGTCATTTATGCGCCTGTCCTCCAAAATCCCAATTATGAACCAATCAAACTGCCCTAATTGAGCCCCGTTTTCCGGATTCGCAGGGAAAGTATTCCGTTACTTGCACTCAAATTCACTCAAACTGAAACTAAGTCCGCGTAAACAGTCCAGGTAAGTTTCGAGAAGCTGAATCAATTTCTGAAGACAACTTTAATTTCTACACGTACAAATTATCTCAAGCTGTTAGTGGGATCGCATTGGTGTCAATTATCTAACATGAAATATCTTCAAAACATCTGAATAAGTTTAAAAGAAACTTGTTCCCCTCAAAATATCATCATTACATTCATAACTATCGTTATTGCTGGCTGAGTAGGAGATAAAAAACATTAAAGTAAGAGTCTATTTTATTAAATGTAAGTTGAAAAGACACGAAATAGACGCGACACGCACTCTTTTCCTCGTTTTACGCTTGTGTTTACACGAACTCTTTTCGTCTCGCGCTCGTTTTCATATTCTCATCAACCAGCTGTTTGGAAAACGAAATAAGGCGTCTCTCACCTTGTGTTTATTGCTTTTGCGATCATTTGAAACCCCAAAAATTGTGAGAAATGCTGTTTTTTCAAGATCAGAAGGTTGTGATCCTTCTTAATTTAGATTGATATGAGAAACAATGGCCTATAATTTGCTCTCCATGGTAAACTGGACGGCTGCGAGCTCAAGCCCTGTCTAAAAGGCATATTTCACGCCATTAAAATAATCCTTAGCGTTGTGGGCTTCTTTGCCCGTGTGCATCGTCAAAGCCTTATCTTATATAAGTCTCCTTAAATTATATTTACTTTTAACCGCACACGATCCTTTAAATTATGTGATAAGACGTTTGCTCTACAAGCATGGATCTTAATATATTTAAAAACCTGAAGAGGCGCTTTCCGCTCAGCTAATATTCAAATCCGATCGAAATGCATATATTTTGTATGGTTTTACCACATTTTTTTCTGCAATTAACTGATCGTCTTTGGTATCCCACATATGTCTATCGCTTGGACTAAATATTAGCATAAAATTAAAATGACGAAATATTTTAGTGGGAAGGAATTTCTACCCGATAAGTTGACATTTTGGGTTGAGATTGGGACTGTTAAGATTTGTTTGTACTGTAAAGGCAGATCCAGGACAACATCGGAAACATAGGAAATTTTGGCGCTCAACATGATGGTGCTGAGGGTCAATAGTGGTATTGTATTATTTTAAAAACAAAATCAATTTGAACAGGAATTACAAACCAAGAATTTTTGGCCGAGTGAAATGCGCCTCACCCTTAGCTTTTCCTTTAATCCCCTGACATTAAACCGGAAGTGAGTATGATATCCATGACATCCACACGTAGGAGCCCATCACTATTTAGTAACAGGATCCTGCCATATCGGCGTTATCCAGCAAACAGGTAATGAGAATATTTAAACTTATCTGGTAGAAGATGTTATCTTGATATAACACCAAATTGAAAAGAAATGTGTATCAGTTAGAGGGGAGAAGAATTACCAATCAGATCTTGGGAGTTAAAGGGCTAATTTTAAGCTGATTGTTGCACGAAGAAAACTAAAACTGTTGGCTCATAGATATAAAAGGAAGTAAGGATAACATTACTTTGAGATCTTTATACAATGTTTCTACATGGAAGGGATGTGTGACCCTCTAAATCCGATCTTTCTGCTTTTAAAATTTTTGGGAGGTAGTCCAATATGTTGCTATTTGAGAGTCGAGCGAGAGTCTCTAAGGCTTCTTCTGCAAGCTTCTAGATGTTTAGAAGTACCCCGAACAGTTCAATTCCGGACAAGTAGATTCCATATTTGTGAGAGGAATTTCTGCCTGTTTGGAAAATTCGAAAAAATCGGAAAGCTCCCATTTTGCCTTCAACTGACCAGGTGCCTGTATAATATGGATGAGGATCTCTGAAGCGTGGAGGATCTGCTCTTTTATAATTAGTTTCAAGTTTTTTCCAATTCATTCCGTCATTGGATCCCTCCAGTTGCCAATGGGTAAGAACTGACTCTCCATCTCTTTTTCCGTGTCTTAAAGAGTAATGTGTGATTACAAGCCGATGGCTTGAGCCGAGATCAATGGACCACCATGAATCTTTCCTCTCCTCTGTTCCACTGGTAGTTCCTTTCTGATGGTCAAATATGTCACTTGCTTTACCTGGCCCATCGGAAGATCTAGAAGCATGCAATTTTGATGTAACATCTCTCTTCAAATTGCAAATAACACCAGGGCAGTTTGTGGCAAATTCCTTTCCAGTTGGTAAGAAAACACCTAAAAGGAAGAAGAAAAGACAGCTAAATTACCGTCAAACTAACAAAAACTATCAAACTAATGCAGTCACCAATATTAAACAGTCGCTTAACCAGTATAAATGATAATCGAA